ATGAAACTGAAATATTAAGACCACAATAACAGGAGACTTTTAGGAATGTAGGAAATGTGTAAAAAGTACATCTTGATCAAAAGAAACGAGACAATGAGAGTTGTTTGACATTTAAATAAGAAAACATTTTACTGACAAACAAATATGGCCTGTGAATGTAATTGCATGATAATGAGTATCTACTGCATTTTTCAGCTTTTAGCTGGTTTAGCAGTAAATATACATAGCGACTACAACCAAGAAAAAGTGATTTTGATGTATTATTGTTAGATATTTAAGACTGTTTAGCATAGGAGTTATTAATTAGTATATTTTGTGACTTTGTAATTAATGATTGTTTAAGTTTTCATGACAAAAGTGTTGAAGGTTGATTGATTAACAAACAATAGTTATGACAAATTTCATCATGTAACTCAGTAGGAGTTGTACATTGTCTGTGTGTAGCTCAATTGTTCTAAACTGACTTCACATTACTTGAACCTTCTGTATTTTTCTCATTGCCTTAAGTTAGTATTGTTACATCATAGCATCTCATAGTTTGTAGAAAGTTCTAAGCCTCAGTTGGGCAATGTACAATACAGGCAATCAAGTGAGTGCAAGTAAGAAAGTAAGTGAAAGAAAAAGTGAAGATAGCTGGCATATGATTAGCCTTAATGTGCAATTTCTATAGTGAGTTTCACAGCTGTATTGTAACCAACAGAGATAGGAAAAATAATTTATCTTGTCAATTGGGTTCTAAAGTAACTTAAACAGCTTGTGTGGACTTCTGACAAAAAAAAAAAGAGACAATGATTTAAATCTCTGGATACAACTGTGATAACCAGAAGTTCAAGTAAAGTCAGTAAAAGTTAAGTTAGTGAAAGTGAAGTTAGACTGGTGATTCTTAGTTTAGCCCTAATGGGCGATATCTAAAGTGAGTTTAACAGAGATGAAGGAAAATAGTTTGTCCTGTAAAAGGGTGTTTTAAAGTAATTGAATCCACCTGTGTGGACTTCTGACAAGAAAAGAAAATTATTTAAAGCTTTAGATACAACTGAATGTTCAACATATATTTGACTTGTTTTGAATATATCATTTTAAAACAAGTGGATTGTGTGCTGCCTGTTTATTGTCCAAATTTATCACCAATTGTAAAAGAATCCTGGCCCCTATATACTAAAACTCTGCCATTTGGCAAGCCATCCAGGATCACGCAGTGATAAACAATGGTGGTAGAAGATGTGAGCAGCAGAGGAAATAAGTAGGCCTATATATGCACAGCCATAATGGTGGAAAAATTCTGAAGTTTACAACCGTGCTATTTGACCATGTCAATAGATTTTGATAAATGGATAGAAAGAGGCGAGCATGTTGAACTATGACAGTTTGTTAAACAAAAACAAGACCTAGAGAAAGAAGATTATAGACAGAGAAGAATGGAATAAAAGGAAAAAGAGAGAGAGAATAAGAGCACAAATTGAAAGGGAGGAAATGGAGAGACTAGAAATAGAGAGAATAAGGGCACAAATTGAGATCACCAAGCTCACCCAACAGAAAGATGGAGGACCCAAGAATGACTATGGGGTCAGGGCCAGTCAACCCAAGCTGCCCAAATTCGAGGAACAGAAAGATGATATGGATACTTTCCTGAAGAGATATGAAGATTCACCCAAAGTCAGAACTGGGACAAAGGTGACTGGGCAATGTGTCTCAGCACCCTTCTCACATGAAAAGGCCTACAAGTATATGCAGGCATGTTGTCAGAAGGTACAATGGACTATGACAAGTTAAAAGTGGCCTTGCTGAAACACTATGAACTTACCAAAGAAGATTTTCATCAGAAATTCAGAGAAATCAAACCTGACACTGGAGAAACAATATTTAAGTGTGTGGCATGTCTACAGTGATACTTCACAAGATGGACTGACATAGCTAAGTGTGAAAATAGTTTTGAGGGACTAGAAGATCTACTAATACGTGAACAATTCATGGTCATGCGCTCAACTGACATGTCACTGTTCCTAAACGAGAGAGCCCCAAAAGACGTAGATGAAATGATTAAGCTGGCAGAACAGTACATGAAAGCCCATGGAGGAAGAATAACCAGTTAAAGTTGAAACCAGGGGTGGTTGACCAGAAACAGGATACAACCAAAGGTGATAAAACTTACCAGACAAATGGAAGAAGAGATGCTATATATGTTATAAAATAGGGCACATTGCAAAGGAGTGCAAGTCCATCACCAACAAGCAACAGCAGAAATATCAACATAAAGCAGCTGGAGCTACTTACAAGGATGGTATTGGCAAGAAACAAGGAATAAGTGACTGTTACCATGGGTGCTTCTGCCAGAAGAAACAAAATTATAACAACTCGTCAGATTCACCACAAAGAGGAAGTGCTGCTTCCATGATTAATCAATGCCTGATTGATGGTCAGCTCAAGTTAGCAAATAAATCAAACGTGCTACTGACAAAAAAGCATGTGACAAAACTCGAGAGGTGCGAACAAATCACAAAACGCCAATAGGTGAAGACTAGGTTGGGGATAAGAAAGTGAAAGTCCTATGAGACACTGGTGCATTAGTGCAGCAGTGAGAACCAGTCTTGTATTTGATGGTCAGATGATGAGTAAGGTATGCCTGTGTGTGCTAATTGATGGGACAGTGAGAAAGTTTCCTATAGCAAAAATAAATGTGGATACTTCATATATGTGGGAGACCACGAGCCCATGTGACTTGGTGATTGGAAATATACCAGGCAGTAGGAGTTTGGAGGAACCAGACTGAAAGAATACTGATGAGGCATCTACAATCACCACTAGAGCTCAAGAAAAGAAGAGCAAGCAAGACATCAAGCCCTTGCAAGCATCAAAAAGTGACATCCCAAATGTAGGTTCATGGGAGCTGAAGGAAGCACAGAAGAAAGAACCATCACTGCAGAAATTTTAGAACAGTGCCTGAGAGAAAGTCCAGCCCAAGACAAAGGTGAAAGAGACAAAACAGAGGACCAGAAAGGAATATTGTACTCAATCTATCAAAGCAGTTCTACTGGGGAAGCTAAACATATCAAAGGTAGTAAGAAGCTTTTTTTTTTGCCAAGAAGGCCAAGGGTCGACATTTCGAGGTCAGACAGAAGGTCTTAGTTATGCTACCCACAGATAACAACAAACTCACTCTGCAGTGGAAAGGACCTCTTGAAGTACTGGAAGTGGTCAACAGAATGGACTACAAGGTGAAAGTGGATGGGATGACCAAGATCTACCATGCCAATCTGTTGAAGAAGTATTTTGAGAGGACATAACAGATGCAGTTATTGATACACAGAAGGACATGGCAGGTGTAACTATCATAGTTGCAGAAACAAAAGATGGTGACTTTGTCATAGAAGATAAAGACCTACTAGATATTTTCTTGAAGAGGGGCTTATTGTTGGATGTACAAGACTGTTTATTATAGGAGTTATTATTTAGTATATTTTGTGACTTAGTAATTAATGATTGTTTAGTTTTCATGATAAGAGTATTGAAGTTTGATTGTTTTAAAAGCAGTTGTTATGACAAATTTCCTTATGTAACTCAGTACAAGGCATATGTTGTGTGTGTAGTTCAGTTGTTATAAATTAACGTCACATTACTTGAACCTTCTGTATTTTTCTCATTGCCTTATGCTAGTATTGTTACATCATTGCGTCTTGTAGTTTGTGAAAAGTTCTAGGCCTCAGTTGGGCAATGTATATATTTAGGCGACCAAGTGAACGCAAGTAAGGAAGTTAGTGAAAGAAAAATTTAAGATAGCTGGCATATGATTAGCCTTAATGTGCAATTTCTATAGTGAGTTTCACAACTGTATTGTAGCCAAGAGAGATAGGAAAAATAATTTGTCTTGTGAATTGGGTTCTAAAGTAACTGAACCAGCCTGAGTGACTTTTGATGAAAAGGAGGAAGTTATTTAAAGCTCTGGATATAACTGTGGTAACCAACAGTTATAGTGGTGGTTTATAAGTAGAGAAAAATAACTTGTCTTGTCAGCTGGGTTGTAAAGTAATTTAACGAGCCTGTGTGGACTTCTGACAAGAAAAGAGAATTATTTAAAGCTTCAGATACAACTGTGGTATCCTATAGTGTAAATAATTTTTGCACGTACTTTTGACTCATTTTCAATGTATTATTTTAAAACAAGTGGATTGTGTGCTGTCCATTTGTTGTTCAAATTTATCCCCAACAAGTCACAGACACCTACTGTAAAATAATCCCAGCCCCCTATATATTAAAATCCTGAGAAGTATTAGTTTTGCATAGAACTATTTAAGTTCAAGTTCTGCTGCTGAAACTTTACAGAATACCATATCATCCAAGTCAGGAGAATATTTACTTAATAACAAAGAAAGATTGTTTGTTTGTTTCGGATATTTGCACAAAGCTACACAAAGACTATCTGCAGTAACCATACCTAATTTTGTATTGACATATTAGAGGGAAGGCAGTACTTTTAATGGCTACATTTAATCAAGCAGTACAATTTGACCATCACTTTTATAACACGCTCACAGCTTTAAAGTGCTGAGCACGATTTTGTGGAAATGGTACACAAATTATAAATCATCATATATTCATAGTTTGCATTCAAGCCACTAGGCCACACTTAGCCCAACAAAGAAACAGAAAGTAGTTTCCTGCATCTCTATCTCTGCATATATATAATACACCAGACATACCAAGGTAAACAAAAACAAATCTATTGCTGTGGTTGTGATAATGGAAAATATTGATAATTTTAAAGTGAAATATTATAAACACACAATTACTAAAATACGTTGATAACACATTATAAAGTATTCACATTTATTTTTAAAGTTTTTCAGGGTTGACTAAAACAAAAGTTTGAAAACTCTTAAATGATTAATATCAGCTTAATGTAAATGACATTTAAAGGAATTGGAAATCATTTTTATAAAATCTTAGATTTCATAATTATTAATTCTTTTTTTACAAAAGTGATTGAGACCAACAGTGGCACCTACCTTAGAAAGGTGAGATAGTATTATACCAGGTTTTTGTTCCACGGGATCTTCTTCAAAAAAATTTCTTTTGCTAGTATCATCAAGTTCTTCATCTTTAGGAGTAAGACTTGGTTTCCTTTTGCACCAGTATGATGGCTAAATGTAATAACAGATCAAGTTATTGTAAAAACTAAATATGTATCAGGACAAACTATAGCTGGTTAGAAAACAGGTCAAAAACTAAACACTTTTGTTTCTGACTGCACATTTTTTACATATGTTCAGTAATGTTAACCCATCAAATATTAATATGACTAAATGATAAACACTTAATTTTCTTTGAACTTTTACATTTGAATAATAAGATCAAAATGGTGCAGAGATAGTTTTTCATATTATGTATATTATACAGACTGCAATGAAATGATGCATCTTCATAGATAGCAAAGCTTACCTGTTTATGTAACATCTGTATAACGGGTACATAACTTACAAACAATTATAAATATTCAGGAAAATTTAAGAAAAAGGGAGTTGTAATAACATAATTTTCTTACAAACAGTAAAATGAACATTTTTTTTCATGGTGCCATGGAAACTGGTAATTCCACCTCATAATTAGTCATCAATGTACAAGCTTTCTAGGCCCTAGAAATGAAACTTTACTCATCAAATTTAATTGTTAAAAGTATTAGGACGTCAAGAAATTAATGTAGCTTTTTTTTAGATGAAAAAACCTGAACAACTATTAAATGTAATAGTTTCCATTCTTATCGATGATGCTTTTCCATCTTACAATAAGGTTGTTAATGCCCTGATTAAAGAAATCACTTGGCTTTGAAGCAAAAAACATGTCAATGTCCTCTTTAACACCTTACACATTTGCATACGTTTTCCCATTAAGATGGTGTTGCAGCAAACAAAAGAGATGGTAATCTGATGGTGCCATATCTGGAGAATATGGTGGGTGGGGGAGAACTTTCCAACCCAACTCCATAATCTTTTGTTGCGCCAAACATGCCACATGTGGACATGCATTGTCATGGAGAAGAAGAACACCTTTCTGATTGACCACTGAAGGGCATTTCTGATGAACGTCTTGATTTAAACATTCCAGTTG